AAAAAAAAAAAAAAAAAAAAAACAAGATCCAGCCAAAAGCAACCGGAGTACTGTGCTAAAGCAGTATGAAGCCCATCTACTCAAAACAACAACCGTGTTTCTCTCCAAAGTTCACACAGGAAATTTCTGTTCCTCCCTCCGCTTAAACGAAAGGTTGCTTTTAACAGAAACTGAAAGACTTGGCAAACTATATTAACGAGTTCCATGCGCTAACAGACTTTACAAGCAAAGTAAGAGCGACTTAAAAAATCTTGCAAACAAGTTAATTAGTTTAGGTAGGAAGATGAAAGAATCGTTAGATGCCAAACGACGAAGTCCATTAAGTATAAAAAAAATTAGGAAAAACAACAAATCCTTGCATCTAAAAAACTAAGCCTACGAGATAAAAATGCTTAATTAATGACAGCCTTATTTGCGTAAAGTACTTGCACACATAAAAACACTGAAAACTTGTTCAAAAATAAAAGACATCAAAACTCAATTCGCTAAATAATTTTTGAAAATTTTTCGAAGATACTAACAACTCCATAATCTAAATCTATATGATGTTTAACAACAATAAAAGACGATAAAACTCTTGACAAACCTCGAGGTAGGATGTAAAGCAAATGTCAGAAATAAAAGAAGTAAAGGGAGAAACAAATTAGCGAATTGATATTAGAAGCAGAACTTGCATTTCAAAAAACAAGAGATGTCATGACCTTCCAGATTTTCACCAAAAACTTCCGTTCCCAAATCTAAATGAAAAAAGAAATTTTGCAAAAAAGAAGTGCCTGCTAGACAAAAATTTTGACAAGAATCATGACAACGTCTTCAAAGATCTTCAACTTAAATAACCGGAAAACTTAATATTCAAGGGGTCGTATGAGGATTACTGAACTGGGCAAAAACCGGAAGACGAACACTGCTTACAGTTGGTTCGCTCGACGCTTTACCAATAGTTTTCTCATCGAAATTCCATGACAGCAAATCATTAATCAACAATGCAGTGGAATTAAGATCGTAAGCCGGTTGCGAACATAGTGATGTACCCGCCTGCAAAGGCACTTTCTGGTTGAGAGCGATGCCATTATCACCCATCGCCACCGAAGGCCACTCAAAATGTGAACGCTGCAATGAAATACACTAATATAAAATAAAAAAACTTCAAAAACCAAAAGCTTGCAGGTTTAAGTAAATAGAGGTGTGTGCTCATAATTCGTAATTCGCAGTTTGTTGAGTAAAGTAAGTCATTAAAACAAAGTACACAACGCAAAGCAGTTCCTAAAACAAATAAACAATACATCAGATTTTTTTGAATACTCCCCAGTAACACTATTGAGAAAAACCCTCATGGGAAACAAATTTACACAAACTACCTACTTCCAAAGATAAGCGTTTTTTAAATTTGAAAAACCAACCTTAACGTTTAAAGAATTATCAGTAAAAACATTCCAATTATTAAGTGACGCCACATTCATAGAGTCATCAAGGTCAAGACTTGGACTACTGGAACCCAAAGGGCTTTCACTTCCTGACCCTGCTGAACTAGGGACTGGAGATTCACCAGCCGATCCGCACGAATAATGCAAAGTATTGCCCAAGGATAGCAAGAGAGAATTACTGTTCGTTTGTAGCAGATAAGGGTGGCTAAAAAGTAATCCTCAGCAACAAGGCAGTAATAACAAAGAGAAGAAACCAAAAACCAACAGCAGGGCTAGAACCTTTCAATTCAAAGGGACTAACTTTACAGGTACTGCGTTCCTTGACAAAGCAGACGAATCTTCATTATGGATAAAATGACATCTTGGTCCATAAGGGCAATACCCAGACTGATGATACGACTGGCAATATGCAGTCTTATATTTCGGATGCCTAGGAATAGACCGTTTCTCGTGTTCGCCATGTGCGTACTGACACCTGCGCAATGAGTATTATGATATCATATAGAAAACTGATAGTACTGACAGCAAAAAACAATATCCCACGGCATGGTCAAACTGAAAAAATGAATTCAAGACGCATTACCTTTCCCCATAATTACAACGACCGTGATCCATCCAAGATCTACACAATTCTGTTTTATACAATTTTGGATTCTTCTGCTGTACATTTGAAGCCGGATTTTGCGTCTGGTTTCCTAAAGATAAAAAGATGTCTGCCAAACTTGTAATAAGTAAAAACTTAAATTCATTAAATAGTTCGGATCTGTGTAGCTGACCCTGAGCTGGATTTGTAGAAGCACTACCAGGCGACTTGGTACTCAAGTTGGACACCAAACCGTACGCTTGACGGCCTCCCTGCCCATAACGGCTTACACTTGTCATCTGAAATGACTAAATCATCAACACAAAAAACAATGCAGTAAAATCCGTCGCTAACAACAATTCACGCCAACTGCAATCACGCAAACACAGAGATAGCTGCAGTATTGGCAAAACGCTTTTGCATGCAAATATAATTACAAAAGAAATTGAGTAAAAAAACCTTTTAGCAGTGTCCCAAAGTTACAATGAATTTTCATCTACAGATCCTTTGATGATAAAAATTAAATTACTAACCAAAGCTCAAGATTTCGTACCGTTCTAAACAACATCAACGAACAAAATAAGTCCAAACCTAAGATAAGACCAACTGCATTGCATCAAGAAACATTAATTGATCAGCTGTCTAAAAGTTTGCTTTCAAAACCTGTGGAAGCAACAGAAGCCGTGATTTTGTGACGTTTACACAGTTCTAGACAGCTAATGGTTTAAAACCTTACGCATTTTTGAAACAACAAAAAAATGAAAGGAAAAAGTAACGCATTACCGTCTGCAAAAGTAGAACCTAAGCGCAAAAACAAAAACAACAATTAATTGCGAAATCACAGATTAAACCAGTGTATGTAGAAAGAAAAAAAAAATTGGACCAAAATAATTCAAATGAATATAGAAAATAAAAATCGGCAGAAATCCCACTGGAGCTATACCAGCATACAAAAATATATGCCAATCTTTCAGTTTTATTCCACCTAACCAAAGCAAAACCAACTGATCTTCCGGTAAAACAACGATAAACTCGAAGTGGTATTCTTCGTCATGCACAACGAACAAACACACACACACGAAGACCCATACTACAGTCACAACAATTACCCGTTGAGAAAATAAAATACATTTCATCCCTCATTTCGTTCAAGAGTCCCAACTTTCCTTTTTAACTGAGTTTCCACAACAGACACGACAACAATCGTATGAACATGAAACAACAGGAGAAGTTCCATAATAACTGGCACTCGTTTCGATCACAGAAATTCCGTATGCTAACCACAGGCATTCCGGCGATCGGCATTATGAAGTATAATTACCACCCAGAAGTCTAGCAAAATATTACTGTACGAAGGCAGTTTGCAAACAACAACAGGTTACCGACTTCAAATCGTCTCGGGTTTAGATGTCTCCTCACTAACCGCTCGCTTGTAAATTGACGACGACCGTTCACAGGTAATCGAGTAACCGACCGCTGCTACCGGGATCATCGCACATCAGCAACACCTGTCGCCCTGCGGCTTATGTGAACGTTCGCCACATCAACGACCACCCATCTGTAAATATCGCTTGAGAGCCCGATCATAGGTGGGATTTACCGAAACGAATAAATTTAAATCCGCCTCTGGGTACAAAGTCTGCTACAATATCCTCACGATTCATGGCGGTCTTTGAGGAGTTGGGAAGCTGGATTATACACTTGCTTTTACAATCTCATTAAGTGACTAACTTCCTTACTAATTGACTAGCTGACTCTGATTATAAAGCGTGATAGTAGAAAAAAATAATGAAAAGGCAGAAAGAATACAGGTAGCAGTTTGTGTTGCAGAAGCCCTTCGTTGACAACAAAGTTCAGAAACTCCCCTCCTTTCCTCAAAATCAGCAATATAAACATAGAAACACAAGCAGAAAAAAAAATACGTAACAAAACACTCTGGAAACAGTGCAAATAATTAAGTGAAAAACGGCTTCGTAAACCAAACAAAAAAAAAAAAGAAAAACGTTGGGAAAATATAACGAAAAGAAAAAACGATAACGCGTACAAGTACTTCAATAAGATTAGAGAAACTGCAAGGAGAAGCACCTAAAAACTGCAAGAAACAACTTTGTAATCAATGACGGGAATGATAGTGAGGATATTCAAAATCTGTAACTTCATTTGAACACAGCTATTCTAATGAAAACCCAACGTTGCACATTGGTAATAAACAACTACTCAGATTATCTAATAATCTACTGCAGAAATACAAAACCAATTCAACTAATGCAAATGACAACCAGGGAAAATAACAGCTGTAATACGGTTGTAGCAGTGATAGCAGTAACAGTAGTTGTTGTAGTAGCAGTAGTAATAGTAACATTACGAATAATGACGATGACGACAACAGCGACAAAAATAAAAATAAAAACAAAAATTAAAATAAAGACAGAAAGAAGAAAAAGGAAAAAATAGCAATAAGAGCAATTATAAGAAAAATTCTCAACTGTCCTCAAAAAGCAAGCATATTCTAAACTATAAAAGTAAGGCTTGACGTGAATGAGAAAAGAACGCGAAAAGGAAAAGCCGACAATTACAAACAGGACAATAAAAGAACAGGAACCACAACTGTAACCGACATGAAGACTGTAACCAATAATGATTCTGTTAATTTTTTCCCTTATCTACTGACTGCAAGAGCTAACATTAGCTACCACCCATCAACCAACTACACGTCACCCTCAGTCTTTATCCCCAAAAATCTAAAATATAAAACCTCCGTCAAGTTCTAATTGAAAACTCATCCTGACTTAAAATTTTTCTATACGATTGCAAAGAATTTTTATTTCATTTTACAGCCAATCCAGTATGAAGAATAACTAAAAATACCGTTGTGAAAAAAAACCTGTGAACTACTTCTGCTCCAAAATTGCAAAAAATGGAAAATATGGAAATCTTAAGCAAAAAAACCTTCAACCTATCAAAAGGATTAACAACTGATATAA